TATATATATATATATATATATATATATATATATATATATATATATATATATATATATATATATATATATATATATATATTATATATTATATATTATATTATATATTATATATTATATTATATATTATATATTATATATATTATATATTATATATATATATATATATATATATATATATATATATATATATATATATATATATATATATCGATGTAATGTAACCTAACATCATCCCTGTTGATGACTGAATCTTAGTCGAAAGCTAAAAGATTATTAAAATGTTTATTTTCGGAGTTACCATTGTTGTATATTTTATTAAAATACTCAGTGGTTCCCGTAATTTTTAACAATAGTTGTTTACGCTTTATTGATGATGATCTGATGCATTTTTTTCGCACTTTGTACTGAGTAGGCTGTGTAGCCATCTATTCTGTGGTGTAGCGCCTTTAACATGCAGTCAATGCATAAATGAATACACGGTTCAAATAATGTTGATGGGCACTTAATTGAATGCCGGTAATGCATAAGTTCCATAACATCAATTTATATATTGTGTAGAATCTCAAAGATTTTCTCAATGGACAATGACAATATATTCATGTCTGAAATGTTTATATGCATGTCTGAAATGTTTTTAAAAAACTCATTAACAAATCAGGAGAAAACACAAAGAAAAATCATAAGCGTGTCGTATCTTTATATGTGATAAAAAATCATGTTAATTTACATCAACTTTAGCTTTGATTTTCTCGGTTTAGACAAAGTTTATTTTAAAAATTACTTCGCCAATGAACTCGTATAAGATGAGTCGTTTTTTAAGCCATTTAAAGCACTCGTAGTCGTGTTTTATCACATATATTGATAAAACACTCCTACTCGTGCTATAAATAGTACATAAACAACACTGTCTCGTTCTTTCCTACCTCTGCATAATGAGTATACCGTGAAAATAATATCGGCACTCAATCGAATGCCTAGAATCTCAAAGATTTTCGACTCAATATTTACGTCTGAAATGTTTATACGGCACTTGAAAAAAAGCACTGTCTAGCCCTATACTGTGCTGTCTAGCTCTTTCCTAGCTGTGTATAATGAATATACCGTCTAAATATCGGCACTTAATTGAATTCCCGTAATGCATGGCATCAATTTATATGTTGCGTAGATTCTGAAAGATTTACTAAATATTCATGTCTGAAATGTTTATATATACATTTGAAAACAACACTGTCGCTCCTTGACGGCTTGATAGCGCATGCGCATTTGCGCTGGTAAAGAAACGTTGTGTTCCGGGGTAAAGATCTTTTACAACATGAGCAGCGAATGTTATAAAATTTACAAAAAATTACAATAACGAAAACGATTCCTCGAAATTTTTGTGAACTTGGTAAAAGGATAAAAGAATATTTAAATAAAACAACTGAAATTGCCTAAATAACCTTCAAAGCACTGACTAAGTACAATAAATCACTATATACAAACATAAATCGTACACACACCCCGGAAAGTTTACTGTATGACTGACTGACTGATTCGTTTGAATTTCCCCCCAGTCATCACAATATTGTGAAGTTTCGAAGAAAATTCACACTAAAAATGGAAACGTGAATGGTTGATGAGCTCAAGAAATTGGAGGTAAAGAAATGTGTTTTTTTGTTCTTTGTAATTAAAAATTGCACAACAATTTATATAACAGAGCTTTGCTGCAATGTTTCTTCCTCTTCACCATATAAAAGTAAGGCAACTAGTTCTTTGAATTCATTCTCAGGAAATTCCATGTTTCCATCCTGCAAGTTCTTGGAATGACCCGCGTCTCCATTAAGGAAAGAGATTGAAAACTCTGGTGATAACCACAGTTGATTTTTTACTCCTTCATCATTGTCAAAATCTAATGTATTCAGTTGGTAACATAATAGCGCCATTTTCTGGTCGTTAAAAACAATCGAGCGAATTGACATCGGATTTTGTAGCACGTCACCAAAACTTGCTCCATTCTTACAGATAGCACGTTCTACAAGTCGTCCAAACGAGAACATTATCCCTAAAAAAACAGAAAATGGAAAAAGTTACTCGAAATATATTTGTAAGCATCAAGACAGCACAAAGTCAAACCAAATCGTAAGAGACAGTCTTATATGATTTTTATCGTGCCCACATTTTATTAAGCAAAAAATAGTATCGAGTGCGTATTAAACAGTTAATAATAAACAGTTAATTGTAATAAGATTTGAAATCATTCTAGATACTAATTTGTTCACCTGGTGCCACCCATTTAACCAGTTACTCGCAACACCGCGGTCAAACGTCCGCATATCGACTGCTTGTCAGCTTGTACTCAAAAGACTAGAAATATAGTATTGTCTTCGCAAAGCTCTAGCAAAAAGTGTAAAGAAAACTACAAGAGTGTAAAGTAAGTATTACTTCTTCATGTCACCATGGATTGTAAAATAACTGGATAGGAAACTGTAGTCGCATGACATGTTTCCATCCCGCCGATTGGCTGAAAGGTCTTTGTTGTTGCTCGAGATATGCTGAAACCTAGTTGCAAATCGTGATGTCAACAATGGCGAATGATGACGAAGTATTGTTGATTTTCCTATGCTTTTGACTGAGATTTTTTTACCTTTTCATGTTTTTTGCTTGACAATGTGTTTGTTCTTGTCTTTTGGTATTTTATACTGATCTATGGCCGAAATGAACCCGCCTAAGCCACACAACAACTCTTAAGGCAAGTGTTCATCTTTATTGTTTACATCATTATCAGTTTACAACAGATATAATTGCGTCGCCAATAGCAACCTATTTTGCCCGATTTCTTCCGTATTTTGTGACGCATATTTAGAGTATTTAATCTGTGTATTTTTACCCAAGACATACTTCAACAAGTAGATTTATCCTTTTATTGTAGCTTAGTCATATTTTAAGCTTGGTTTTAAATTGTTATTTTTTTCGATTTTAATTTGTGTTTTGAAAGCCAATTTGCAACTAGGTTTAGACTGTGACGTCACGAAGTGTCCTATCCAGTTATCTTACAATCCATGATGTCACAAAGAGAAAGCGATGCCGCTTTCTTTTCTCGTGTTTACTCCTACTTTTTGGCAGACATTTCGTAGACTCGTGGTTCGAGCATGCGTTTTATATTTGACCGCGGTGTTCTTGCTCGCAGACTCGCACCCTTAACTCGCACCTAGTCTCTGAATGACGTTTGAAAAAAATAATGGTGCATGATGAGAATAATTAAGGCTGAATTCATTACACACCTCAGTATACTGATCTATACATGTACTCATAATGTATAGCTTTGACGACTGGGTACGAGACAGTCTGCGGAGTGCAGGTACAAAAATACGTATAGTTAACTCAGCTTAGAATGTTTCCTACCAGAGACGAGCGTACCATTGTACGCAATATTTCCACAAAATAGGATCCAAGATGGCGGTACCATTGCATTTACAAATGTGGGAAATTGAAGTAAGAAACTTTGAAATATTTGTTCATTGGGAACAAAAGGTGCTCACCTAAGACTAAGTAATCAATTCTAACCAAGTCGGTAAGGTTTGTAGCCTTTTTGCAGCCTCCTGGGTCAATGCCATGTTAAATATAATACATAATTAATAAGTACTTAGTATTTGTGTAAAAGGATAGGTGAATTATTATGAACGTTTTATCTGACAAACCTTGAGCAATAAGATGTGGTAACTTCCAATTTCGTTCGGTTATGACCAGCGTTTGAGGAAATGGAAACATATCATAATAAAACCCTCCATCAAAACCTGTTCCCGACACATTTTGGGACAACTCAAATATTGGTGATATGAGCTCATCTTTTTCCTCAACTGACGTTTCTGTTGTTTTTTCAATTTCCGCGGAGGAAACAAAATTTGGCAATGCAAGTTCTGATGAAAATAGAAGTCCAGTTCTTCCTGAAACTTGGAAGTTATACCCAAATCTATTCCAAGAAACCTTTAAATATGGTCTATAGGATATAGCTTGCCTGGATAATCCTGGATATCTATCAAAATAGAAATTTAATTTATTAACATACCTTAGCTACCTAAACGAAAAGTCGGCTTTCATCTAGTGTGTTTTCATTCGAGAAGGCGCAAGAGGGAAAATACCACTTTCGCTTTTTTATGCTGGCTCATTACAATCTAACGTCTTGAAATTAGAAACCAAGAAAGTTTTATAAACTTTGGATAATAAAGCACACATTGGATAATGATATCCAAAATAGATACCCTTCAAAACAACAACAGCAATTGGGATGTATCAGATGAGAGCTAGTGATTGAATATCGTAAAATAATCAATATAGAGCCTTAAAATGTGGTTCATGTCATTTTCTAAGACGCCATATGTTACTTTCTGTAGAAGCCACTAATGTCCAATGGTAATGAAGCTATTAATGTGTATATCTTTTAGTTTTTATAATAAATGCATGGAATTTGAATTATCAGTGGGATATTATACATTTTGAGATTTTAATGAGCTGCTACTCAAGGAAAGTTGTGTGAGCCACATCCATCTTACAGCCAAATATATTAGCCCACTGATAAATTGAGGCCCCCGCCTCGATTAGCTATTGCTAATAATAATAATATAGAGGATTTTTTACATATATTCAAAGTTAATCTATATTTGCGTTTAATTAGTCATAAATTTTAAGTAATTCTTCATTTTAGTTTAAAGATAAAGAGCAGAGCCCAGCAAATAACTTTAAAACCAAACGTAATAAAAGTAAAAAATTTATTAGCTAACGAGTAACGTTTCGTTGTTTCCAATTAATACAATAACATATTCAGAGCAATCTAAATGAATTTACAAGGTATGAAATATATTTACAAAATAATGGTTTAATCAACTCAGAGATACCAAGGATAGTGCAAAGTTGATATGACAGATGATCAGAAAGCAATGGCTATAGCAGCAAAATCAAGTGTATCGTATAATATGATAAAATATTTATTATGATTCACACATACTATACGAAATGGGTCCATAGCCATGCAGGGATATGACTAATTATAGCGGAACAGCCGACCACGGAACTTGCATAACTTAGTATATATCAATCTTTTCTTCTTGTATGAACATTGTTCCTTCATAATTCAATTCCTTCAGATTCCGTTCTATTTCGCCATATCGGTTTCGTTAATAAAAAGCAATAAACATGTCATTTCCCGGTGTTCTCATTTTATTAATACCTTCCATATAGAAATTAGAAAATATAATGCATGCATTATATATGTTCTAATTTCTATATGGAAGTTATTAATAAAATGAGAACACTCGAGCCTTTTCTTCATTTATTTAAAATCAATCACCAATTTATTACAATATTGGATACAGAAAGGAATTAAGTATTATCAGATGTTTGGAGTGAAATTTTACTGGCAGTTGATACTTAAGTATAGCCGAATTCTGCATTCATATATTGACTATTGCCAATATTGGATATTTTCGAACCCAATATTGGATGATTTCAAAATCCTATCATCAGGCACTTCTGAGTGGGATCTTATGTAAGATTTATGTAAGGCTATTCCAATCGCCTCTGCGGAGGAGAGAGGGGATATTATTATCCGTGAAAGCCTATTAATTTATCAACTTAACCCTGTCCTTAATGCTAATATTAGACCTATACCCCTCTTGAGTTATTTTAGTTATGTAATATTAACCTTAATATGTTCTTTCAAACTAAGTAACCGTTTTTGTAATATTAAACCATTACTTTGTAAATATATATACTATACCCTAGCTAATATTTTTTTTTTACCTTTATTATGTTTGGTTTTAAAGTTATTTGCTGGGCTCTGCTCTTTATCTTTAAACTAAGATTTCCGCCTGGTGTATCAATTGCCACAATTCTTCATTTACTACACTTTCACGTGTTTGGGGGTTTTATCAGAATAAAGCAAACAAATGGAAACTAAATTTATTAGAGGACTGACAAATGTCATTGATGTGGATTAGAAAAAGTAAGGGTCCAAGTACTGATCCTTATGGTACTCCACATAAGTTTATTTCCTTACTTGAAATATTTGTACCAACTTGTTTAGTTTGGACACGATTTATTAAATATGAGGAAAACCAATCTTGGATTATACCTCTAAATCCATAGTAATGTAGTTTATGTAACAGAATTGAGTGATCAACTGTGTCAAACGCTTTTTGAAGATCGATGAAGATACCACAGGTAAGACGTTTATTGTACATGTTTTCTTGTATTTTATTTACAATACTAAGAATTGCACTGTTCTGTAGAATTTTTTCCAAAAACCATATTGTAAATGATACAGAATACTCTTACTTCGAAGAAATGACATGATGCGCTTGTATATTACTTTTTTCAAAAATTCGTTGAAGTTAGATAAAAGTGAAATTGGCCTGTAGTTACCAGCCTCAGTGTCGTTACCTCCTTTAAAAATAGGAATTATTTTAGCATGTTTTAAAATAGAAGCATAATTCTGTTAACAGCTGAAATATTCATAATTTCAGCTAATGGTCCGCTGATGACATTATTTGCACATTTCAGAATTCTTGTTGGACATGAAAATAGACCATGAGATTTTCCATTGAGCTTATTTCCAGTTCTATTTGTGAAGGTGAAGACAAATGAATCTTTAAATCGCCTTTGTATTAAATAGTCACTAAAATGAGATTCTGACTGTTGTTTAAGATATTGGGTATCCAAGATGGATCTCGGTTGATCCATAGTTGATCTCATTTTTTTCTAAATTTTTTAAAGCAGTTATTATATTAGAAATTTTTTGTTTGCCATTTATTAAACTATTAATACCAGTCCATGACTTTTCTTATATTATTTAAATTGTTTTCAAAATATGAACAGTAATAGTGTTTTTTACTATTTCGAATTAGTGCTGAAATTCTATTTCGATAATATTTATATTTATCATGATCGCCTTGGCTAAGTAGTCTGATTTTTTCTTTAGTTGATTTTTTTATTGAACCATTAGTAATCTATGGCTTTGTAAATTTCTTTATTTCACAATGGGTCACCCTTTTATAGGGTACATGTTTGTTAAGTAATTTGTTTAATTTATTGTAAAATGTTGTGAACAATTTATTAACATAATGTCGATTTTTTTGAAGATGGCAAACAGCTCACCTTTCTCAGTCAAAATATTATATTTTGAAAACTAAGCAAGATATATAAACAATCTGAAATAGAGTTTAAATTAATATATAGTTTTAAGAGTTCTTTCAATTGAACTAAACTAATTTTTTATTGCCAATGTCCTTTAACCCATTGAGTACCAGCACTCTCTCCTTGACAAGTAAAATCACCTGGCATTAGACAGAGTAAAATAATCTGGCATCAGACAGAGTAAACTACTAAAATAATACAGTAGGGTGTATTATGGCACAATGGGTTAAAGATAGAAATACTGTATGAAAATTAGTGCTGCCAAGGAGGGGCAAGGGAGAGTGCCTGTCACCCCTCCCTGGCTCCCCTTATGTTTTTCAAAATGTAGTTTTACATTTGTTCAAAATCAATGAAAAATTGGGGATGGAGTACCCTGGAACCAGAGGGTATTTATTTTCGCCTGTTTTGAATAACCCTCTGGTGAAATTGGCGTAGTTTTCGGGTTCACATTCCACACATAACTTTCAAAAATGGAAGCAAAGAGTTGATTGGCTGCTGACTATAGGTTCGATAGACTACGTGTTCTGATTGGATATTGTAAACATCATAGCCTGTTCGCAGGCGTTTCGTGTTTTGATTGAATTGAAACATTTGAATTTTGAAATGTCTATATTATTAAATAAACGAACAAAAGTTGAAAGAAGCAGTTTTATAGGCTGCATTAATAGATAGATTGATAAATTTCCTGAATTAAAAGTTTAACGGAGCATCAATACCGCGCCTTGTCCAATTTGATTCACATTAAAGATGTATTTGCATCTTGCTATCGGTTATGGGAAGAGTTTAATATTCCAAAGTTCTAACACAGAGAGTAGCACGACGACTTGGCAAAAGCCACAATTTTCTGGAGAAACCCATCTTAATAGTCATTTGCAAATTGAACTCTTTCATTGACTCTCACGTCCGTGAACTAAGAAAGCGTGGATGCCGTGTTACTTCACTGTCAAACGAAGAGGACGAGAAAGCAATACTAGATGGAGAGTTTACATTCGCATTTTGTAATCCCGAGTCTATTATTCGAAATGCGAAATGGAGAGGAATGGTTTCATTTGAAATGTACAAGACAAATTTGCTTGCTTTTGTATTAACAGACAAAGTTCACGTCGGCCCAAAGAGGTGTGTTTAATAATTTTATAAAATACACATTTTTTTTAATGTATATTGCAGGATTAAATTGAATGTATATTGCAAGATTAAAGTGAATGAATATAAATATATATTTATATTAAATTGAATAGATGTGATGTTTTAAATTGAATGAAATTCAGGAGAATGAATATTCCTACAAATGGGCAGGCATACACTGGACAGTAAACATGCGATAAAACCCTGTCTAGACGGCCTGGCGTAAAGGATAATGATTGGATAATATTTTTAGAATCTCGCATTTCGCGTTCGCCAAACTAAAAAACCTCTGGGCCAGGGTAGGGATGGAGTGGAAAATGTGCAGTTCTAAATCCATTTATGCAGTGCTAAAACCACAAATGGACAAATGTAGTCATTGAGCATCAAAAGTATAAAATGTTCTGGAGGAGGACCCAGAGACCCTCCTATTTTCTTTACAAAACACTTACCTGCTAAGGTGGTGGACAAGGGATGAAACTGGTGTGAATGAAACCCTCCAAAAGAATGATTATAGTAAGAGAATAATCTTCCCTATCTCAAATGCAAACTAATTATATATTGAATACCGGTACTTGTAATTCTCCATTATATGGTTTGAGCCATTTGTTGGGGGTGGTTACTTAGGTTTTCTAACTGTAGAGGGTTTTTCAAGTAAAACATTCCCCAGAATGCATGAAATGTCATTTAATTAGGAGACTCTAGATTTCAAAAATTTCTGGGAAAACATGTCCATGTCGACCAAGTTTGTCTTGCTGGCCCTTGTCAACCCAACCATCATTTCCAGTGAGCAATAGAAAAGTTATGCACCACTTATCATTTGTTTCCACCACCCCCTCAACCCTCGAAATTCAACTATTTTTGCCTCGGCAAATAATTGCCGAAGTCTTTCGATAATTTTCGAGTTTGCCTCGGCAATTTTTTTTGCCGAGACACGCAATGAAATCACCTTAAATTCCTTCGGCAATTACTTTGGCACCCTTCGGCATTCACGTCGGCAGTTGTAATTAAAGTAAAGTACATACGGAAATTGTTGTAAACAAATATTATAACAAGCGTAGATTCTGACAGTTGACAATTTGTTGTTATTTTACAAATTCCTGATTCAAAACGTTTTTAAGGGGCCGACCATTTAACTTTTGAGGGAGGGGGTGGGTGATTTTTAAAAAAAAATTCCTGCAAGGCTATTTGGAACAAAAAAAACCTGCACTAACAAACTGGGGAAAAAATATCCTGCCCCATTATTTGGTGGGAAAAAAATGTTGCAAAACAGTATGGTTGCAGGGATCGATTTGATCAGTCCGAGAAGATCAGCTGGTTTGATTTTCAGGGACTAGTGTAAGGTTAATCTCTTGTTGGAAAACTCCTCAAAATGCTGGAAATAGCTTATCTGAGCTTCAAGAAATCCAAAATTTTCTGGGGGGGGCATGCCTCCAGACCCTCTAGAGGCTCCCACCTTTGGTGGTTGACTCGGTGTCTCAGAATCCTAGGTATGGCCTGATCTGCTGCCCTATGGCACATACTTATTAGTTAAACCAGGCATATATATGCTGCAGGTAGCTGCAGCGATACAGACATGGCTGTAGCGAGGGGGGTATTGGGGGGTGGTTAACCCCCCAACTTTTTTAGAATCTACATATTCAGAAAATCGGTTTGGCCATTCGGAAAATTACGGCAATAATATTAGAACAAAATTTTAGTTGTTAAACAGAGAAAATATTATAAAATTGTATTGTCACTATAAATTGTAAGCAAATTGTAAATTTTCAACATACTAAAACGCTTTTTTCTGACCATCAGCATTCTGTCAAAACTTCCCCAAAGTCCAGGAAATGGCATTTCAGAGACTCGAAATTTAAAAATTTCCTCGGGTCTCCGGCCCTCGTTTTCTGCCCCCAATAAACAAAAGCTCCCTACCGCACTGCTTCTGTAATATGTCTGTGCGTAAAATATGCGTATTTTTGTTTGTAAATTGCGTCTTCATTTTCCGAATAGCAAACACCTTTGTGGCTTAGTATGCCATGATATATTCGGAATTTTTTTTCGTCATTTGGAAATTTTTGGCCTACACCCCCCCCAACTATACATGCTAGCTACGGCCCTGGATACAGACTTGCCGACTGGAACTTCTCCAGGTCCCCCACTAATTATGTCCTCTCCAGTTACACATCCTTAAAAAAGGCCCTGAACCAAATGTTATACCTCATAGCAATATGTATTATTAAGAGCAATGCATGAAGCTAGAAAACTCAACGTTAACTATAAATAAAGAATCTAAATAGTATAAGCTACTGAAAAAAAATGCTGCGAAAGAAAGTGTGGAAAATAAATCGTACATAGTGATGGGATAAAAATATATCTTGCACATAACGATCCCAGAAAAAAATTCATTCCCTGCCAGCAGTAAATCACCCCCCCCCCCTCAAAAGTTAAATGGTTGGCCCCTAAAAAGTTAGTGGTAATTAACAACAAATTGTATGAAAGAATAAACTTGACGGTAACCACATGACAGTCTAAAAGATAAAACAAAGTTTCTCGACGTGCCGTCTTTAAACCATCAAGATTGTTCTTTATTTCTGCCGAAGCCGACGCTGAAAATCTCGAATTTAAATATTTTGTAAAGTAGCTATGAATGAAATCTTCTGTTGTAGTGTTGTTCACCCAACGTCAATGACAACAATTCGAACAAAGAAGTGATACAAAAAACGAACACTAGAGAGGTTAAGATACCCCGGTTTCGGTGTACGGGTACGAGTAGGGTCATCTTGTTTTACTGATGTCTGTAATTCGATCATACTTTTTTCTGTTTTCTTGCAATAGACAATGATATAATGCGAAAAATGTGCACCTTAATTACGAGTAAAGGTACAGACATCGACGAAAATATTGCTAACCAAAATCATGCTACCCGTACACGTACACCGAAACCGGGTATCTTAAGTTTGTAAACGAACACTGTAGTTTGTAAATTTAAGCAAAAAAAAACAAACAGATGCTGTACTTTCTAATTTAAGGTACAACAGGTGGAATTGCCTCAGCATTTTTATGCCGAGGCAAACTACAAAAAAATCATAACTTGCTTTGGCATTTGCGTTGGCAATTGCCAAGTGCCAAGGTGAATTTTGAGGGTTGCCCCTACCCTTACCCCGCCCACCCGGAGGGCAGGCAAACCCACAGGCATTTAACATCTTTTTTTGTCAAATTCCCCACCCAAGGACACAATTTCTGAGTCAAAATACCTGTGGGAAGGGTAGGAGTTGTTAACAATTTCAGGATATTAATTAATGTGGTCATATAATTCGAAACATTTAGTCATACGCAATAAAAAAATATTGTGTCACACACAATAAAAACATGTTCTAAAGGGTAAAAATATGAATATTTTGAATATCTCATCTGAAAGGTTTGTTTCTTTAAAAATATCTCTATTTCAGCATTTGAAATGTTATCCATCTTGAAAATGACTTATTTTGAAAAACGTCTAGATGAGGTTGAGAAACATTGAGATAACGTTGGATGATCGCCCCAAGTCTCCCGCAGCACAAACCATGCTGCAAGCCGAGATGGCCAGTACATGAGTTTGTCAACTGCCCACAATTTGTTGTCAAATGCTCATCTCCAGGTTGAGAATTTGTTGGAATTTGAGAATTTGTCAAATCCCCCAGGGTTGCCTGGACTCCAGGGGGTGGTGGAAACAAATGATAGGTGCATTACTTGAAGATTATTAATACATGCATGCATGCCACATTGTCATACCTATCTGCACATGACCATACTGCCTTCATAACATTCATTATTATGCCTTTACTACGTTGAACATATTTCACATAATGACCATCTTCACAAATCATAGAGCTGGCAATTACACTGTGTTTCATCTGAGGCAATATATTCTCGAAAGGCAAATCATCCATCCCAGACAAAACCACTGATGGTAAACCCACATTCATTATGCTCTTCGTATTACGTAATACTTGCCTTACTGGTTCTACAGTTCGCACACGAGGATGAAATATATATGGATTATAATTACAACTTCTATCTTCCTTTTGATCCTTTCGTTTCAAACGGAGTCGTGAAGGTCCTGTATGCCCCTGGCGAAGAAGGTGAAATACCGACTTTGGCTGCAGATTTCGTGCAGTAAAAACGGACATATTTTTAAAACATGCACAAAATACTAAATTAAATATGCACCTCGGCCCTCACGACCTTACGTATCAGCCATTTTGGAAGTAGCCCACGAATTTCTCGTGTTTTCCCGCGTGATTACATTGTTGGCGGGAAGTGAGCCAGGAGAACCAGTGAGGAGAGCCAATCAGATGCTTCCTAAAGACCCTGGGAACGAGGTTGATCCGTGGGTTGATCAGATGCGCGTGGGGTCACGTTCATGCAGAATAATAAAACTCGCAAGTCCTCAGCATCAACTGCTTGAATGCACGCTGTTGTTTTTTAAAAGTTAAAACGATTTCAGAAGTCAAGAGGCCTGCAAAAATGACTTTCGACTTGGTTTTAAGTTCACTTCTTTATCATGGAAGGGAATGGTTTGTATTTCAGGACATTTTGACGCATCTACCTCAAGAAAAAGCTACCGCAGCAACCCAGCATTCGAAGACCACTCAGAAATACACCTATCGCTTTGGTATAACACGAGATTGGGTGACTGGCGATGGCAGAAAAGTTCTCGTTGATCGCCATTTCATCGATTCAAATGATCCGGGACGTACTTTAATCTTTAGCAGCGTACTTATAGACGCTGAGCGAGTGGAGAAGCTGTTTCTTGAAAGCTTTAACAAAAGATTTCGCCTAAAAGTTCAGCAGTTTCATTTGACCGCAACCTCTTTGGATTCTGCGTGGTTCGAATGGCAATTCGACCCAAAGCAGAAGGACGGTTGTGCCGTGAAGAAGACGAAGCTGACTGTTGAGCAAAGCGACCGCCAAGCATCAAGAGCACAAGAGAAAACGCCTCAGAATAATCAAAATAGTGATAGTGAGAATATGACACCCAACTTATCGTCCAATGAAGATCAACAAACCACTCTGGCCTCAAAGAGAAGAAGACCCATCTCGGAGAATGAAGATCAATCGAACGGTGATTATTCACCATCCATATCGGAGTCTGTGCTGATGCGACCAAGAAAGAAGGCGAAAGAAGCAAATTTATCCATCTCTAAATACCTCGACCAGCAGGAGGATGAAAAACCTAACACTATGGAACAGAAAGAAGAACCAATGTCACCTGACTATAAACCAGATATGGCAAATTTCCATAATATCAAGAGATCACTCTCTCCAATGGAAAAACCTAAAATCAAGCTGTCACCAAGTTCTTCACCTCAAACCATCATCAAGGAAGATGTTTTGCTTAGTTCTGTCAGGGACAGCAACGCTGACAGCGATACTGATTATATTCCACCTTCAAATGACACTCCACAAGAAAGCAGCACCATGCCTCAAGATGCCAACTCTCAGAACGGTGACAATTTGAATGAAAGTGATGTTACAGATTTAGCAAATGGCGTGTCCCAAGATATCATGACCCTTGATGATCAAGATATGCCTGATGTGGGAAATATGCCAGATGATGATGATGATGTCAGTGGTGGCACAGGTAGTGGCCCAGATAATGTGGGTAATGCCCAACAAAATGCAAGTAATGTCTCAGATAATAATAGTACTGTTGATTATAACAATAGTGCAGATATTAGTAGCACTGATGAAGGTAATTTACCTGATACCAATGTACCAGATGATGCTAACCTTAGTTCACAAACTGAGCCACCAACATCTCCAACATCCTCGTTGTTGGACAACTCAAATAATATCATGGAGAACATAAAATTGCAAAAACAGGAGCTTTGTACTGAAGAAGAAGATGTAGTTGTGGTTGAAGGGCAATCGTCAGAAGTGCCAAGTACATCGGCCGATACCAGAGTGCCAGCTGAAACTCACAAACATGATTGTGGTGCAGAAGCATGTTCTAGCAATGGTGCATCATCAACAGTGTGTTTGTGTACACAAGAAGAAAAGTCCAAACAAGAAACAGCTGCTGAAAAAGTTAGAAACACAGGTATAGTTTTTCCCCATAGTTAGTTGTGGTATTGACAAAACACAGACTAATAATATTCATTCTAAATTTTGGGCATGACATGGTCTGAAATATTTTTCTCAGTCTCCAACTACCAGGATTCAAAGTTTAGTATCCCCCCTGAGCATCCAGTATCCCACTTCTGGATAGTGGCTACTGGTACCATAAGTATTATACCCTGACTTGTCCAAATAAGTTTCCAAATAAGTTTCACTGTTACAAATTACAATAATAACAAGAGACTCAACAGTCAACAACTAAACAATTCATTAAAACACTAAAATCCACATAATCCTTCAACAAACGTCTATATGCTAGTCCTCAATGAGGAAAGACTGATGGCAAACTGATAACAGCTCTCCAAATTACTGTCGGACATCAGACAATGTGACTAAATTTGGCCAAATGTCCGAGCAAAAGTAATTTTGATCGGACAGTGATCTGATCACAACAAAAAATTGTCACATTATACATTTTTTTGCTGTGATAGATGCGATTGCAAATTCACTCAATTGTCATTTTGCAATAAAATTTACGAGGCGTTCTAGCATTGAATCTTACTTAATGTTGCACCGGAATGGCATATATATATATATATATATATACTTGTCTTGTGACTTATATCTACATCTTGTGACGTATATATGTTTGACCAAATTTAGTGATGTTGGTTTTTGTCCGACCAAATTCAAGTTATGTCTGACCAAAATTAAAAGTGATCAGACAAATGTCCTGTCAAGTCAAATATTTATTTGCAGCCCTGTGATAATATTCAAAAGCTATCAGGAGCCTGTCAAGGTGTTTAAAATAAACTAACATTTTCTTAATAATCATGTTTCGCTCACTACTCTGGTTTAAATAAATGATTACAAAGCCCAGTCGAATTGTAATCAAGACCCTTCTTAATGTTTGACATTTTCTTAGTTGCAGGCCTCGAATTTGCAGGCCTCCAGTTGCAGGCCTCAAATTTGAGAAAAATGAAGGCAGGGCCAGTTTGTCCTTGAATGTTACTAAGTTTTTCAGGGCATCAAGCATCAAGGCCAGTACACAGGGCATCAAGATTCAAGGCCAGTTTGAAAATTTTATTCAGTTGCTATTTTGAAGTTTCAAATAACATTTGAGTTTCCATGAGCCAAGAAAAATATACAGAACAGCAACAATATTCAAAAAAATGCCAAACAAAATTATGGATATTTTAATACATGATTCAACAGACAGGCTGATGGAAAGGTGCATTTAAATACTATTTTAGATTTATTGCCAATTTTACAAATCATGCACTTGGTTTTCTAAAGTCTAAGTACTGTAGTCTGGGGTTGAGGGCAGGCCACTACTGGCCGTGGATTTCAGTATATTTCGAGGGCATAGCGGCCAACAAGCAGGGCATCGACGGCCAGTGGCCACCGCTAAATTTGAGGCCTGTAGTCGGGATACAAGTCATTCAAAGTTTGGCACCAGCCATCACATTTGAATAATACTCTGATATAAAAAGGCTCTGCACGAAACATGTAAAGTAGTTTGTCCATTTTGATATTATATAATTCATGGTTGCTTACAACCTTTCACTTAAATATCCAGTCCCAAATTTTGCCAAAAAATCAAGAAAAGTGAATCTTCTAGAAAACATGCGCATTGAAATCTGCAATTGTCTCCTGTATTTTCTCCTTATTTAATTCTCTAAATTATACAAACAAACCAGCGAAGATTGACAAATAGATAAACGGAAAGTAAGTTTTAGGCTTTGTCCTTATTTAACAAAATCGATTTAAATTGTTACGTTTTTCTACCACTAAGTGATGATAAATTATTCTTAATAATTTTATTATTTTTTGGATGCTCAGAATGCAGGAAATAGCATTTCCAGGTTTCAAATTTCAAAAATTTTCTGGGGATTATCCCTCTAATAAATAATATCCCTCTAATAAATAATATCCCTTTAAGGATTATCCCTCTAATAGATAAATTACGGTTAATATTCTTTTTTACTTTTTGTGCATTTTTTCCTTCTTTTATTTCAAATACAAGTATAGTTAGCACAAATTTTAGAGCAAATTTGGATGCTCAGAATGCAGGAAATGACATTTCCAGGATTCAAATTTCAAACATTTTCTGGGGGAGTACTCCCCCAGACCCCCATTCATAAGTGGTATATTGGCCACACATGTGGTCTTTAGCCATTGCTATCCCCCTCTAATATATTATCTCGCAGAAAGGTCCCTTTTCAAAAAATGTCCCCCCACGGGAAAATCCTTAAAAAAGGCCCTGAGTCAGAACCCAGACATTCTATGATTTCTTATTGAATTTGAATTGAACCACAAAAGTAACCAGCTTGCAGATCTGGAAAATATATTTCTGTTCCTGGCAGCAAATTATATAAGTAAATTATATAAGATGACAAAAAATACTTGCAAGATGTGAAAATTCTCCAAAAATTCCTGCCTGTTTCTTTAAAATTTCCTTGGTGGTACTGGACATTTCCAGCACTGCAGCCTTGTGGAATGAGTGACTGTTGCCAATGGTGATTACTTAATGTAGGACTGCTAATAAGACACTTTGGCTGCGTAATAAAAACAGGTTAAGGGTTACCACACAGTGGTTATTAAACACTGATAAATGACAATGTTCAATTAACAGTTCCATTAAAATTATGAGGCAATACTGTAATTTATATCCAAACGCACCAGCTTAGGTGCTTTGATTATTAATGTGTTGTAGAAGCATCTGAACTCCTGGATGGTTTAAAGGCTGCTGGATTTGTACCTCTTGTTCGACAGTTGTTGGAGAATGTCCAAGGACAAAGTGATACAAGACTATCTCAAATGGAGGGAGAGCTGAACAGTGAGTTTTTGGAATTTTTTCTCTTAACCATTGTAATTTCTGGGTTAAAAGATGCAAAGTATTAATACCAATTTACAGGATGAAACCCAATCTGGATACATCCAGAATTAATTCTAACCTTTTAACTTTTTAAATGTAAATACACTTAACACTGGTTCAATCCGGAAAACCATGCACAAGTGAGAGTATGTTTATTAGTAATACATACTGTAATCTGTATGAGAACATTGAAAATTCAACCTATTTTGATGATGATTTGTGTAAGGAATTTGCAAAAGAAAGCTTAAGAAAGCATTGGTAATATATTTTAATAAAATTGCACTGTTTCATCCACGAATTGTTTTCATCATTCATTATATAGTGGAATCTTGTATAATTACCATTTACACTCCAAATGTTATTTTAATTTTAGCACTTGGAAACCAAATAAACCAGAAGAGAAAGGCTAATAGGCAACTTCAAAAAAGTATAAAAAAAAAAGCAGGAGAGTTAGAGAAGTTGTTTGATAATTTGAGAAAAGGCAAGTCGCTTTGCGAGATGCTTGAGCAAAAACACAAAGCTCTCCAAGTGGAAAAAGCTACTGTTGAAGAAAAAGTGAAGAAATGTTTGGAGGTTTTAAACTCTGTTGACTAAAAACTGACTGTAAATATGTTAATATTTTTAACGATTTTCAAACGTTCATAGCAGAAGCACGTCAGTTCTCGAAAATTTTGGTCGTGGATTAAATAAGTTGATTTAAAAAGAATTCATTAAACTCTAATGCTGGGTATTGTTTTCGTTATCTTCCATTCTTTTCGAGATATTTGTAATTTGATGGATATGTAAAATAAACTGTAAATCCTGAAACTAGTATTAAACTTAAGCATTCCAAAGCAAAATAAACGGTAAATACGTAATATTACGAATTAGAAACAGAAAATTTCGGCTCCTAGTTTCACCCTGGCCCTGCCAATAATGATGTTATGTAATCAACATCAAACAAATTTTAATATGATAAAAACGAAGACAGATGAGATGACGAAAATATAAATAACTTGCGTTACAGTTTTAAGAGTCAAAATCCATTGTTTATTGGCATTGCATCGAATTTCGCTTTAATTTTAACGGAGAAGTAATTAAAAATGGATCTTTATACAAACTACTTACGTCTTTACGACAATGTAAAATTGTCTACTCATTCAATTTGTCTATATGTATAACCAACAGGAAATGTTTGGGGGATAGGTGTGTGTTCAAACGATTTTGTGTTCTTGAACGATCGATATTAGCGATGTTCTTCTTGTTTCGGGTTTATAGGATATTGTTATGCAATTATTGTTACGCAGGACAAAATTTGTAAAGTGAGATTTGTTACATTCAAGTGAGTGCAGATAAACGTTTTGTGTAATTAAAAGCAAAAGTCAAAAACACAACAGTCGAGAACATCAAAACTAATTAGCTTTAATAAACCTTAATATCGTTTTGTTTTGTAGTAAAGTTGGTTAGTGGTATATTTTTAATAAATCTCAATGTAAATTAAATAATTGTGCGAAACCGTATATATACAGTTTTGTGATGAAGACTGAAGGGCAAAAGGGGTTTTGTTAAAAATCTTGACTCCTTGTTTCCAACAGACGTTGAACGGCTTGGAGTTGCGCTCATTAGGATCGTATCTGGTGAGATCATAGTAATGTCCCACAAATTCGAACTCCATTTTCCGAATTATTAAATTTGGAAATTGTATTCCAGTTTACTGTTTGTTTCACACCCATCTCAGCGATCAGTCGACGAGCTTATCACATACTTTCTAATTATTTCCAGCACAGCTATTCGGCCATTCTAATGTAACATCAAGAACTGTCCTGGGTAGATGACTTAGATGTTACTAACCTCATGACTATTAATTAACTTTAACTATTTTTTATTCAACTGGGGTCAGAAGATTAGACTGTCGTCTGCCAAATTGATTTCGATCAGCTCTGGTACCTGCCGAGACCATGCGTACCATTCATCATCTTTCTCCGTGGCTTGTGATTGGCCTTGGGGCGCATCTGGTTCTGTGGTACGAAATTGCTCTAGGGCATTTACGTCCGCGTCCGATAATCCTAGTTCGATTGCTAAAAATCATCTTCTATTGTCTATGATTTTTTCTGTGTTGGTGTTGTGTACTCAGGTGAATATGATGTTTGTGATGTTACTCGTGAGTGTATATCCACATTAAGTCCACGTTAATGCGTTCTTGTAGTTCGTCATTTGTTTTGCCATTGGTTGAAATATTTGTGTCATCGGCAAACATGCTTGCTGAAGATGAGGTCAGGCAGTTTGGCAGGTCGTTTATATATAATAAGAAAAGAAGTGGCCCAGGATTAGAACCTTGGGGTATTCCACATTTAACTGTTCTTGTTTTGGACATTGTTTGATCTACCTTACATATTTGAATCCTGCTAGAAAGATAGGACTGGAACCAAGCAAGCGTATGACCTCTTATTCCATAACAATGCATTTTTTTAACAATATATTATGATCAACACAGTCAAACGCTTTCTTGAGATCCAAAAAAATCACTCCATTTAACAAACCCTTTAACTAACCATTTAACTAACCCTTCATGTTTTTTAGTCAAATTTTGATTATCGTTCCGGATTTCAGATATAACAGTCGTTTTTGACTGTTTGTTTGTAAGTTTATTAATTGTTTTCCACATTTTCTTTGGGTTGTTATCACAGTCATTTAAAGTATTTGTAAAGTAAATTGCTTTTGTATTCTTAATTAATCTATTCAAATCATTTCGTTGTTGAATACATTATTGACTCAGGCGTGGAACACATAGGAATAAGTGACCATAGCATGATCTATGTCTGCCGAAAAGTTTCTATTCCCCGAAAAGAGCCAAAAATTGTCAACACAAGACAGTATAAATATTTCGAAATTAATGCTTTTAGATCAGATTTAATTGAAATTTTCCAAATACAATCAAACTTTACAAACCCAAACATTCTTTGGGAGGAGTGGAAATCAAAATTTTTTGGCGGTTGCTGATCTACATGCGCCACCATGCAATTACACGGAAAGTTAGAAGTGAGCATGCTCCTTGGATTACAGAAAATATTAAGAAAAGTATGCAAAATAGAGATTATCTTAAAAAAAGGCCGTTAAATCGGGCTCAAGGAATGTGCACGAAGCGTATAAAAAGCAAGAAATGAAGTTAACAAGCTCGCTAAAAACACGAAAACTAAATACTTTATGAATGCCCTAAGTGAAAATAATCAAAATCCTAAAACAATGTGGAACACAATTAGGACATTGACAAACAAAAATTCTAAAACAACTAACATCACTGAGATCCACGTTGAGAATGGCCACTCTGTTACCGAGCCTAAACAGATTGCTGATGCCTTTAATACATTTTTCATTAATATTGGTACTCAACTGGCTGATGCTTTACCTGTAACCAACATAACACCAGAATCATTTATCACCCCTGCGAATTCCTCTTTTGAAATTCATACCGTTTCAATTGAAAAAGGATTTAATTTACTTTACACTATAAAGGTTTCTAAGGCAACAGGACACGATAAAATCTCACCAAAATTGCTGAAAGACTCATAGCGCCATCTTTGGTTAATATCTTCAACCAATCTATTAAAACATGGTATCTTTCCTGGTGATATGAAAACTGCAGTGATCTCGCCTATTTTCAAGTCGGGAAACAAGACAGAGTGTACTAACTATAGACCAATTTCAATACTCTCGGCAATTTCCAAAATCTTTGAGAAACTCATTTCAATGCAATTGTCTGAATATCTGGAATCCAATGAGATACTCGCAGGTGAACAATCGGGTTTCCGAAAGAATCACTCAACACAATCATCGCTCCTTCAAGCTACCAACAAATGGTTGATCAATATGGACAATGGGTGCTTGAATGGTGTAATATTTTTGGACCTGAAGAAAGCCTTTGATTATGTTGATCACGATATACTGCTTAGGAAACTATATCTCTATGGGTCTAGCCCAATTACCTTAAAATGGTTTAAGTCGTATCTGTACAAATATGTAAAATTGAGCGTACCATGTCAAGAAAACATACTATAAGATGCGGAGTGCCTCAGGGATCAAACCTAGGACCGTTGTTATTTCTAGTTTACATAAATGATCTCCCGAGGTGTCTCTCGCACTCGACTACTAGTATGTTCGCTGACGACACAAACTTAACGACAAATGGTGGTTCAAGTGATGAAGTCATAACTAAATTAAATGTAGACTTAGAGTTCATCGATCATCAATGGTTGCTGGTCAACAGGTTAACTCTTAATAAAGAAAAAACCGAATACATAATAATAGGGTCTAGACAAAGATTAGCCAAAATTGAAAACGAACAAGAATTAAAACTTGGGGAAACAAATATTAATAGGATAAAATGTACAAAAATCCTAGGTGTAATTGTCGATGAACAATTAACGTGGAAAAACCAGATCGAAAGCATAGTTAACAAGGCTTCAAAAGGTATCGGAATGATACGTCGTATTAAGAAATATGTTCCGGTGTCACAGGAGATTCGCCCCCCCCAGGAGATTCGCCCCCCCTCTCAAAAGGGGGGCGATATTCCTAGGATATTCGCCCCCCCGGGGCGAATCTCCTAGGAATATCGCCCCCCTTTAGGAATTTCGCCCCCCCATATAAATTTTGAATTTTTGATCTAAAAACAAAACGATTGCAAGTTGAAAAGATTTATTGTGTGATTTATTTATTTATTACAAGGAGACAAAATTACATACACCGTTTTAGGCTTCTTAGCAGCTGGTGGTGTGCGCAGTCTGCATAACCGAGTAATTTGAGGTTATACTTAGACTAGTGTCATATTCTACACATCTAAAGTGGAACCATCACAGAGATCGCATAAAATCATGTTGTCGTATTCTTCTGGCAGTTTACATTCACATAACATATTATAAAAACAATCGCTTGCAAATTTTATCAATATGAGTGTTAACAATAGCCGCCACAGTAATCACTTGCTAACAATAAACTATAGGATTAGTAAAAAATCCATGGAATGTGTTGGGAAGCGTATTGACTATATTGTCCGTTGAATCGTCAACTTTCTGTGTCAGTGATGTAATCTTGATTCTTCACTTCCGCAAAGAAAACTGATTGCATTGTATATGTGGTGTGGTTTATTCAAATCATTTCATGATACTTTGATTTTATTAGTGCATGCCTTAAACATTTGAGAATGTAACTCTGCAAAACTAAAAGCTTTCTTGTCTTTTTTGCTTTTTTGAAACGTATATTATTGGATTATTGCCTATTGGCAAGTTCTACCCTTCGCTTCAGCGATTTACAAACTATATTGAAATAATGCAAGTAAAAAATAGTGACAAACCATACATTTTCCGATAACGACAAAACGTGGATGCAAAACAATACCAATAATTACAATAACCAGCACGGTGATTACTTTTTAACAATGAGTTTAAGGATTAACACTGAAAATGCAAAATATGCATGGTGTGCTGTGAAGCGTCATAAGTCCTATTGAGTATTCATCTACTGTAACTGTGTAAAGCCCTTTCGATACATGTAATTGTAAATTTGTATTCTTACATGCAGGGCTTGAAATAACGTTCCCAAAGTTCCCGATCATGGTGATCGGCAGTCGCGACTTTCCCTGCTTTTTTCAGGTTGGAAACCGAAACCCTGCTTTTCCGACGATCATAAGCAATTCCTTGCCGATCATTGATCGGTTGTTATTTCAAGCTCTGTCTTAACAATTTTGAATTGATACTGATTTCAAATGATTAAAGCCATGTAATAATTATCCCATGCAACTGTTAGGAAGGGCGAAATTTTGAACGGAGGACGAAAATCCTAAAGAAAAGGTGAAGTTTCTACAGGGGGGCGAATTTCCTAAAGGGGGGCGAAATTCCTAGGATTTTCGCCCCCCTGGGGGGCGATATTCCTAGGAATTTCGCCCCCCGGGGGGCGAAAATGTAGGGGGGGCGAAAATCCTGGGACACCGGCAACAATTTTAGAAAACGTCTATAAGGCTATAGTACTGCCTTATTTTGACTATTGCAGTTTAGTTTGGGAAAACTGTAGCGTCTACCTCCAAGATAAATTACAGAAAATGCAAAATAGAGCAGCTAGAGTAATTACGGGGAAACCGTACGATGCAAGAATAAGTGATATGCTGAATGAACTTGATTGGCAACCATTAGCTGAACGAAGGAGATCTCAGAAAATAGTATTTATGCATAAAGTTAAAAATAAGCAATTCCCAGAAAGCATATCTAGCATGTTCCATACAACCTACGCAATAATAATGTCAATTATGCACTTCCAAAACCTAAAACAGATTTCATGAAAAAAAGCATAAGTTATTCAGCCGTAAGTGTGTGGAATAGCCTCCCAAAAGCCGCTAAAGTAAACGACGTTTCTATTTGGCAATTAAAACAATTCTCTCGAGCTGATTATAATTACGAATAGACGAAATGTGCGAACAGTAAATAGAATCTAATTATGTCGTTTGTAAATAGCTCCTGTATTGTGTTAGGTTAGTTCTTTAATGTCTTTTTATATATTTTTTTATTGTATTACTGTAAACGGCCCCTTGGAAATCAGATGTTATTAGATCTGAAGGGTTACCGTTTCCAAATAAGATTAAATAATAATAGTGTGCGTTTATAAGCATCATGGAAATGTTTTGATCCTGTCTTAACTGCTTTTTTCTTTAAAACGTCTCTTCGACGCATCTATAGTTTGCCTTAATATTTTCTGTAATCCATGGCGCGTACTCGCTTCTAACTTTTTTTGTTCTTTCTGGTGCATGAAAATCTGCAACCGACAGAAATATTGTTTTCACTTAGTTGTATTTTGCTCGTTAAGCCCGCCGCACATGAGCGCACTTGTCGTGCGTACTTCTTATTCGTGACCAGTGTTCGTGACAAGTTGGATCGACAAAATTTCCTCATGTGCGGGCAACATTTACGGCATTTTCGTCATTCGTGACATGTAAATCAAATATCAAACATGTTTGATATTTTTCGTTATTCGTGACAAAAAAATTCTCGTGTGCGGCGAGCAAACGACAAGCGCGCCTTGAATAGGAAAATTTGCGCATGCGTGCAACTTGCAGAATTAAAAACAAGACACGAGCTCGTGATTTTGATCCGCCATGTTGTTTTTAATTCTGCAAGTTGCACGCATGCGCAAATTTTCCTATTCAGGCGCGCTTGTCGTTTGCTCGCCGCACACGACAATTTTTTTTGTCACGAATGACGAAAAATATCAAACATGTTTGATCTTTGGTTTACATGTCACGAATGACGAAAATGCCGTAAATGTTGCCCGCACACGAGGAAATTTTGTCGATCCAACTTGTCACGAATAACAAGTACGCGCGACAAGTGCGCTCGTGTGCGGCGGGCTTAAGGTTTTCAACATTCCCGAATATTTTAACTGGCGTGGGTTGTATTTACTCGTTCTTCGTTTTTGCAACGACGCCGTTATATCACGGCCACTTTTCGAGTTTTTTAACCCTCGTTCCGGTGGTTTTTTGGCTGGTAATCTTCAGATTCCGCCTCATTATTTGTCAACTCGGTTGTTAATCGCGTTTTCCTAATATGCGGTCTGGCGAGGTGGGTACACTATAATCAAAACCCTACACATGTCTACGACGTGTTCTCGTGTTCAGGCGCGTGCTGGAAGCATATAATTCCCAGACTGGCAGAGTTTGACTGCTTTCATAAGCCTATAAGCGTTTTACATTTTCTACTGCCATCCCAATGTTTGTTTGCACATATATTTACTGCCCGGGTATCTTTTAAGACTTTCAACATTCCCTATAAATATATATCTATACATATATATTCATCAACTTGCGTGGGTTGTATTTTATTCGCTCGTTTTGAAACGATGCCGTTATTTCACGGCCATTTCGAGTTTTCTTCTAACCCTCGTTCAGGTGGTTTTTGGCTGGCAATCTAGATCTCTTTTAGATTTGGCCTCATTATTTGGCAACTCGGTTGTTATCGCGTTTTCCTATTGTGCGGTCTGGCGAGGTGGGTACACTAATCACAACCCTACACATGTCTGCGACGTGTTCTCGTATTCAGGCGCGTGCTGGAGACGTATAATTCCCAGAGTTTGACTGCTTTCATAAGCCTATAAGCGTTCTTTTTCCCTTTGACTGCCATCGCAATGCCGTTTGTGTTATTGTTTTGGGGCAGGCAATTTTTTCTACTTTGTCTTTGGACTATTTCTTTTGGATTTTAACTATAACATTCGGTGAAGCAACATTGTGCTACCGTATATTGCATGCTTTTGGTATGGACAATGCGGTGGGATTTTTTGCTTTTGGTGAAGCAATTCACCTTAATTTGTTGCTTTTGGTGAAGCGAATACCTTAATTTGACTTGTTGCTTTTGGTGAAGCGCATGTCCTTTAATTTGTTGCTTTTGGTGAAGCGCATACCTTAATTTGACTTGTTGCTTTTGGTGAAGCGCATGTCCTTAATTTGTTGCTTTTGGTGAAGCGAATTAATACCCTAATTTGACTTGTTGCTTTTGGTGAAGCGCATGTCCTTACTTTGTTGCTTTTGGTGAAGC